TTGTACACAGGTTAGGACAAAGTTTACTGTATACCTTGTTGTTCATTTCCCAGGGACCTGACCTGTGGCAATTCCAGGGATAGACCTAAGGTGTCTCTCCCTACTCATGTCATAGGCTTCCCAGGTCTTCAGTTCAAGTCATAGAGCTCCCTGTGCTCTCCTGGTCCTGCTCTGACTCATGCTGATAGTATTTGTCATTCAAATTGGTAGAAATAACAGCGTTGTGTTGATCCTCTCCATTTCCTGGTTTTGCAGGAGGTGGTTCCTTTGGGAAAGATGGGTTTTTTCCATACCCTCTTATAGGAGTCTTTGAAGCCTTCATAGTCTGTTGGGCACCTGAGAGAACAAAGAGAGATCACAGAAGGACACTGGCTTGGGTGAAGATGGTGGAAGAGAGGTGCAAATAGGGGCTTCACTTGAAAGAGTGGGATCTGAGGCCAGGAGAGAAGGCTTAGTGGGAGGATTTCAGGGGAAGAAGAGAAAGTACTTGTGTGGGTCTACTCACCTTGTGTGTGGACCACGTTTGAGAAAAAGGCCTTCCACTAATTCTCCTTGTGTTCTTATGCTGTGTGGTTCAATGTGCATTCCAGTTTCTTATAGTTTTCTTTCCATCTGAAGTGTCTGAGCCGCCTTTTGCTTTAATAAAGACCTCTTGACCTGGTTTTCTACACCCTGCCAAGGATAATACATGGTTACTTGTGGTCAATGGAGATTAAAAAAGAGAATAGACTGTCTCATAAAGACTGGTTCTGAAACAATTGTACATCCATATGTAGAAAGTAAATTACACTATGCTATGTCTATCAATATGTCTATCCATTGATATAGATATTTCTATTTCTTAGATTGTTTGAACCTGATAGAAAATACAAATCAATTATAAGTCAGAACTGGAGAGGTGGATTGGGGGCACAGTTTTGAGGGGATTCAGTGCTTTCTTTGTTGGCTGCATAGCAGAACAGTATGGCAGAAGTCTGTGATGGAAAAATGTCACTCATGGGATGGTGGCCAGGAGAGAGAGAGACAGACAGAGATAGAGAGAGAGACAGAGACAGAGAATTAGGAAGGAGAATACCCACTCTGTATTCATTCCCCAAGTGAAGTTCCCCTAGCAGGCCCCATCCCAAACACCAGGTTTTCCAAGAAACTATTACATTTACAGTCTAGCATTCATCCCTTAACCCTTAAGAGGCTTATGTGCATCTCATTACTCAAAATGCAGTTAAGTCGACTTCCAAGATTGGCCAAAGTCTTAATAGTTCCATTATTATACAAAATTCCAAGTCCAAAGGCTCCCCAAGAGACTCCAGGCAAACTCTAGGCTGTGAGCTCCTATAAAAATTAAAATGAAAGTAAAATACTCTCAGTATACAAGAAAAAATAGAGTAAGCATTTCCAGTATAAAATAGAGGAAGGGGGGATATGATGGAATTGAATAACCAACATTAAAACTGAAAAGAAGCCTACTGATCCATCAGTTACATCCCATTAATCCATGTCCAGCAAGCAGGGCAAGGTGTGGTGAGTTGTGAGTCCAAAGTACTTCAGGAGCCTTTTCTCTATGTTATAGACCACATAGCCTTTTCCTTGGGCTGGATCCACTCTGCTTGTGGTTTCCTTCAAAAAAATCCATATACTTGGCTTCTCCAACTTCCTGGGGCCTTCATGGCAAATTTCATTTTACTCTCAGAGATTCATAAAGTGCTCTCTTGTGAGCTCTTGCTGTGACCCTGTCACATCCTTTTGTGAAATTTGGATGGGAGCCTCTCAGACTCCATATTTCTTTCTTTGTGCATGCCTGAAAAATCAGCACCATGTGAATTGCAAAAGGGTTCTTCAGCATCTGTGCAGAAGCCAGGCCCCCTTCTCACATGGCTGCAGTGGTCACTGGAAATCTGGATGGCTGAACTCAAGGATTGTTATGATTTGTGTCTAGAAGCCCCCCAAAGCCTCATGCAGTCATGGGGTGGGCTTCTAGAGTTCGTGATTGATTCATGGTCCAATGCTGGGATTATGGGTGTGAGTGCTACACTCACCCTGAGGTGGATTGCCTGTATACAATCTAAGAGAGAGAATGAGGCTTGGTCCTCCTTTCTCTCACTTCTTCTTTTCTGTTCTTATTGCTTTTGCTGTCTTCAGCCAACATGAACTTTTGCTCCTGTGCCATGCCACCCTGCCTTGGAGCCAACTGATTATGGACTGAAACAACTACATGCTGTGAGATAAATAAACATTGGGTATTTTGTCTCAGCAACAAGAAAAAAGTAACTGATACAGCTCTTATTTATGAAGCCTTGAATGAGCAGGAGTCCCAAGGACTCTGCTCAAATGAAAGATTTATGGCTTTAGATCCTTGGCCCTGTAATGGGTGGAGATTTGGTAATTTCTTATTTGCTCCTAAGGCATTTTCTTCTCAGTCCTATACAAAATACGTGGCTTCCTTTTAATGCTATTACTTAATTCCCCAGAATTAATAATTCCCCAAACATTACTTAATTCCCCGGAATTCCAGGTGCTTCTTTCTGGTAAACCAGGAGAACTTCCAAATCATTCAGCTATGCCACTGGCTCATGAAATTCACTGTAGATTTTCTGAGTGGCATTCAGCAATAAATGTGACACAAACTGAACATTGGATGGCCTTGTAATTTCCACCACCAAATTAATTACTCTCCATTATTCTCAGTCTTCCACGAAATTTCAGGACATGGGCAAATTTTAGACAAAATTTGTGCTAGGGTTTAACACATATGGCATCTAGTATAATTCTCAATAGGGCCTTTGTTTCCAAATGAGCCTTGTGAGCCTGGCCCTTAGTATCAACATTCTTGTCAGCTTTCTTTTTTTCTGAACTCATACTTTTGCACATCAAGCACTGCTCACAGCATTCTCAGCTTTCTGTACCCTGCATCTCCAAACACTTGCCAAATTCCTCCTTCCAAAGTCTTTTGACCCCATAACCAAATTCAGTCCTAGCAGTAGCTCCAGTCCTGGCACCAATTTTCTATATTATTTACATTCCGAATCTGGGACAATAAGCTGAACATTTGCTACTTAAAGGAGTAGCAATTTATCTTGGCTCACAAATTCAGTGGGTTTAGTCCTTAGTTGGCCTACTCTGAGACAGAAATAGCATGGCATAATGATGTAGCTAAGGAAGCTAGCTGGTCATGCCATAACACTAAAGAATGAAAGCAACAAGGGAGGCACCAGGGATGAGAATAGATCTTCCACATGTACCCAAGTGACACTCTTCTTCTAACCAGTACCCACCTCTAATTGTGAGACATTTGGGGCAAATTTTAAAATATAAACAATAACGTTAACATATTACAGAAAGAATAAAATTTGATATTGAGGTATTTTACAGACTGAGATCATGTAATTGTGCCACCTATCGCAATGAAACCTATAAAGCAAGCCAAAAGGTTGGAAACTCACCCATTACTTCATTTACCTTAATGATTTTCAGTTTAGTTTCCCTTAACATGTATAAATTATACACATTAATAGAGTTTGGTGTGATATTGTAAAACATGGATATAATTTACCCTACTCAAATCCACCTATGCTTTATATATTTCCCAATAAACCCTTCCTGATCACTGCTGTACCTTCAATTTAAATGATTTTTTACAAACACCTGAAGTTTATAAAACCTTTTTATAGTTTAAAGTGTTATATTGTAGTAGACAAACTGTGCACATATCTAAAAGAACCCTAACAAATATCTGAGTTGTTTATAGAGACAATTATGAAATTCTACATTTTCAGGGCAGTAAATTCTGACATAAAAACAGTGCAGCATATTCATTGATGAGAAACACAATAATGAAAATTTCTCAACTTACTTAAATTCCTTTTAGAAGTAAAAATGACAAACTATGCACTGTATCTTTTCCATTCTGAATTTACCCTTGAAATAACCTGGAGAAAGAGGAGAGAGACAGACAGACAGACAGACAGACAGACACAGAGACAGAGAGAATATTCCAAACTCACATAATCAAATAAATGTAAACATCAAAACCTAAGGAGGCCCTAGAAGGAGTAAAGACTGTTGAACTGTTACATGTGATTGTGTAGGGCCAGGGAGGTCAGTGGGGGACTGAGATCCCATAAGTGGCCCATCACTGCATGAGCCCTCACTTCCCTGCATAGTCTGAAGCTGCATCTCACACTAGAGATGCCAGTGGCCTAGGAAAAAAAGCAGGACAGGCACAGAATGGAAACTGTATGGCTTTGGAGACTGTGCTAATAACAAATTGAACCACCCCTGTCCTCCCCTAGTAGGTGAGGACTGGTTTCCAAAGCAACCACGATTTTGACAAAGTATAAAGAATGCACTAGAAGTAGAATAGCAAATATAAGAGTAAATAACATAGTAGCATTAGAGATTTCATAATCAAAGAAGAGCCTCCCTTCAGCATAATGGTATTCTGGGCATCAGGTCCTTGGTCTGGGTGAAGATATGGAGTTTCAGAACCAATGGAGTCCAAGATGCATCAGGAACCAGGGAGGCAAACCCTAGGAGGATGGAAGGGACCTAGAAAATCTTTTTCTGACTCTGTGCCGCGTTCGCAGATGTGATGTCCACTGACTGGAGAATAATCAGATGGGAAGGGGGTTTAACTGAGTTGCTCCTCTCAGAGGAGAGGAGCAGAGAGTTCTGGTCCAGTTAGGGTTCAAGGTGACAGAGACAGAGAACTGAGGAAGCCCTTCCCCAGAGGGAGGGCCAGAAAACTACCCAGACCTATGCCTCTTGTAAGCGCTGGACCACACGCGGGGTGAATTGTTACAATGAGCTTTAGGCTCCGTGTAGCCTGGGAGGTAGATACATAGTCTCAAGTGAATCGGATGAAGTCCATAGAGGATGGCAGTTCCGGCTCTGCCAGGAACCAAAAGGCTGAACCTCCAGTCAGGGTAGAGGGGACCTTGAAAATTCCGTTCCGTTCTACCACGTGACCTGGGAGACCACCTCCACCCCCCCTCCACCCCGGGCACATTTCCGGAAGTGACGTCCACCGACTGCAGCTGCAGCTTCGGGTCGGAGCTATGGAGGTCCAGTTCTGAGGTGCTCGCATCAGGTGAGGGGAAATGTGCGGGTGGGCTTGGTTATGGCTCAAGGTGACGGGCTACTGGGGGAGCGAGGAAGCCCACCGCAGAGAGAAGGTCCCTCCGAAATCCAGATCTGGCTCTGTAGTGAGCTTTGCATGCTTAGAAAGAATTCTCAATGGTGACCACTTTTGGCTCCGGTGACCACTTTTGGCTCCGGCAACCCAGAGTGCAGCGTCAGAGCCTTGTTCTGAGTTTTGGACTGCGGGGAGGAGGTATTGACAGGACCTGGGCTGATTTAGGCCGCAATAAGTGCTGAGGGAGAACGAGGAATCCGTATCCCACAGAGAAGGTCCCAGAACATTCTAGAAAAGCCTCCATTTTCTACCCTGCACCACGTGGTGGTGAATTCTTAGGTTGCGCCCCCTTTCAGTTCACCGGGAAGCCGGAGGATATCAGAGTATTTTACTTTCTTTTACTTTAATTCTAAAAGATATCATAAGGGCTGGGAATTTAGCTCAGGGGCAAAGCGCCTGCCGGGCAAGCGCAAGGTCGTGAGTTCAATTCCTGGTACCGGGAGAAAAACAAAAAATAAAATAAAATAAAATAAAATAAAATAAAATAAAAGATATTGCAGCTTATTTATTTTAGGGTAACAGGTTGCAGCTTCTATAACAAGCTGGAAGTCAGCATTAAAATAATTATTTTGCACTGCAGTAGTAAGGCTTGTTCACAGAAAGAAATATAGAATACACAAACATTTCACAGAAGAAAGCAAAAGTCACCTGGAGGGCTGGGGATTTAGCTCAGCGGCAAAGCGCCTGCCTGACAAGCGCAACGTCGTGAGTTCGGTTCCCAGTACCGGAGGGGGAAAAAAAAAAAAAAAGTCACCTGGAATTCCCCACATCTATGGAAGAGTTCATAGTAGTTGACAATCATGTGTTTACCATGTAGCAAGTAAGATTTCAGATGTTACCTGCATTAATTCATTAATAGCAACTACAAGACACATTTTCTCCTAGTTGAAGAAACTGCAGCACCAAGTTTAACTTCGCCTATAATTTTTTTTTTTTTTTTTTTTTTTTTTTTGGTTTTTCTCCGGTACCGGGAACCGAACTCATGACCTTGCGCTTGCCAGGCAGGCGCTTTGCCGCTGAGCTAAATCCCCAGCCCCGTTCGCCTATAATGTTAACCAGTCCAGGTGTATAGGTGTTGAAATTTTCAAATTGGAATTACAAGACATCTAATATAGCATATGTATGCATTATGTTAAAATAAGCCACTCTTCAGAAAATATTGTTATGAATATATGATGTTCTTGGTCTGTGTCAACACACTGAATGAGTTTTATAATCTCTCTTGTCCCAAAAGGACTATGTATAGACAGGTTTCAGAAGATCTATAAGTTATATTCTCAGAGGTTTATGACCCCAGAACCATGGAACTTTTCTCACCTGGTGGTTTCATTTTTGCAAATAAAGGCTTTCTCAATATACCAAATAACAAGGAAGAATTTTCTTTCTATCCCTACCGTACACCTTTCCCACTGGTTAAAACCTGAGCAGGTAGTTTTCTTGTTTGGCTTCTAGGAGATGATTTTAGCAAAAAAAAAGGTTAGGCCAGACTTGAATAATATTGACCATGATATTATTTGTATAACACCAAGAAAACTGAATGTATCCAAAATATTATATTACATGACAACAAAATATAATGCAACTATTGAATTTTTAATAATCATGAGACCAATGTATTTTTGTGAAGTTTTCAAAGTATATTACAAATGAGGCTGTTATAACCAGTGGTAGTGGTGCATGTCAGCAATCCCTACACTTAGGAGGCTGAAGCAGAGGGATCTCCCAAAGTTTGAGGACAGCCTGGGCTACATAGTGAGTTCAAGGCCATCCTGAATTACATAGCAAGACCTTGATTCAAAGCCTTTTTCTGAGGACTGAGCTTCAGGTGGGAAGAACAAAGAGGGCCTGAGTGGTGTTAGATCAAGGTGAACTCCAGTGGACACTGAGGAAGCCCCAGGCCAGAGTGAGGATACCACAACCATGTGGAAAAGCCTGTGTTCCTTGCCCTGCCTCAGATGGTCCCGGTGATTACATTCATTGTGAGGAGCTGGACATGCACATAAAATAGCTTAATTCCCTTTTTATCCCTTTCTTTCTCCTCCCCCACCCTGCATCTCTTAGATAAATAAATATATGTTTATATGTACATATACATACATATGTATATTTTTATATGCACACATTTTGTATATCATGTATATTGTTATATATGTAATATGCACATATGTAGTTACAAATATATTTTTATACATGTTTATAGTACATAATGATGACATTCTTCATAGACATGCATGTGCACACTTCACAGTTCCACCTTTTTATAACATTCCCATCCCCTCCATCCCCCCTCTTTCCATTTCTTGCTCACCTTCCCATATACTAAACATCTGTCTGCCTGTTTGCTGTTTTATATCTTTTATTTTGCTCTTTATTCGCAGTTTGGATTTCTCATATAAGAGAAACCTTGCAGTATTTAAACTTGCGTGTCTGATTAATTTCACTGAACATACTGCTCTCAAGGTGCACCCATTTGACTATGTATTACTCAAGGTTACACTTTTTATGGCACAGTAGCCCCCCAGTTTATATACATGCTACATTTATCTTAAACATTCATCTGTTGATGGAAATAAGGGCCACTTCCAAGATTTAGTTATTGTAAATTATGCTGCTGTAAACATGGATATGAATGCATCAGTCCAATATGGTGTCTTTAATTACTTCTTGAAGATAACTAGAAGGGGAATATCTGGGTTGAATGTAAATTCTAGTACTGTTTTCTACAAAGTCTCCTGACTGATTTTCATAGTGCTTGTATCAGTTTACACAACCACCAGGTGTGAAGAAGTGTTCCTTTTTCCTCCCAGGCTTGCTAGCATTTGCTATTATTTCATTTTTTGAAGATATCCATTCTTTCCAGAGTGAGATAGACTCTCAGTGTTGTTTTCATTCCCATTTCATGAATGCTGAACATTTTTTCATTTATTCATTGGCCATTTGTACTACTTCATCTTAATTTAGATAAGTGTTTTGTGATTTCACCTTTTAATTTGGGAGGCCTAATTTTTTTTTAGTTCTTTATGTATTCTAGGTATTAGTGGTTTATGTGAGGAGTATCTGGCAAAATTTTTCCAGTTCTGTAGGTTGTCTGTTCACTCTGCTGGGTGTTTCTTTTGCTGTGCAGAAGCATTTTAATTTGATTTGATCCTATTTGTTGTTTCTTGGTAATATTTCTTGTGCAACTTACATTCTCTTCCAAAAGTCATTGTCAATGCATACATCTTCCAGAGTTTGACCTAATTTGTCTTCTACTAGATTGTTTCCTTTTTAGTATTTAGATCTTTGACTCATTTTGATTTTGTCTTGTGGTTCTTTTTTTTTTTTTTTTTTTTTTTTTTTTTTTTTTTTTTTTTTTTTTTTTGAGACAGGGTCTCATTTTGCAGGTCAGGCTGGCCTTGGGCTCACTTTGTAGCCCAGGCTGGTCTCGAACTCGCACTGATCCTCCTGCCTCAGCCTCCCGAGTGCTGGGATTACAGGCGTGCGCCACCACGCCGAGCCTTGATTTTGTCTTAGTGCATGGTGAGAGATGAGGTCTGGGCTTAACCTTCAGCATGTGGACAGCCGGTTTTCCCAGCACCATTTATTCAAGAGGCTTCCTTTGCTCCAGGTAAATTATTTGGTGTCCTTGTCAAAGAAAAGACAGTTGTGTTGCCTGGAACAGTTTTTGTATTCTGCATTCTATTCTGTTGATCCATAAATCTATGGAGGTTTTTGTTGCCATTATACTGTTTTTATCAGGGTACAATGTCTGAGATTTTAATATTCCCTGCCTTGCTCTTATTACCCGTGGTTGTTTTTGCTGTCCTTGGCCTCTTCTGGTTCCACATGAATTTTAGGATTGTTTTCTCTAGTTCTGTGAGGAATGCTATTGGTATTTGCATTGTGATTGCATGCAGTCTTGATAACAGTTTTCAAATTATTGTCACTTTGGGGCTGGGGATTTAGCTGGCAAGCGCAAGGTTGTGAGTTCGGTTCCCGGTACCAGAGAAAAACCAAAAAAAAAAAAAAAATTATTGTCACTTTGACTGTATTATTTTCACCTATGTAGGAACATGAGATATCTTGGCATTGTGTGATATCCTCTTCAACGGCCTTTTCAGATTACTGTAGTTTTCACAGTAAAGTTTTCTTTCCTTCTCTTGGTTAGGTTAATTTCTAAGGATTCAATTTTTGCGACGCTATTGTAAAAGTTATCGTTTGCTTAATTTCTTTCTTGGTGAGAGTCTTATTGGTGTACAGGAATGCTATTGACTTTTGTGTGCAACCTGCTTTACTACTGAATTTGCATATTAATGAGTCTTTTACTCGAGTTTTAGGGGTCTTATATGTAGATGATCATATCATCTGCAAAGAATGATAGTTTAGCTTCTTCCTTTCCGTATGATCCCGTTCATCTCTTTCTCTTGCCTGATTGCTCTGGCTAATGTTTTGTGAACTACATATTGAACACTGGTAGTGATAGTAGTTGTCCTTGTCTTGGTCCTAAATTCAGGAACAAGAGAGCTTACCCTTTGCCTTGAATTCCACCCCTAGTGTCACAGAGGGAGTGGTGGCCTTGGATTGCAATATGCCTGCGCTGGTCAACAGAGGGGAAGTGTTAATCCCTGGTCATGCTCAAGAAAAGGAGGGCTTCTGTAACCTTGTCCTCCTATCCAATCCAGGAGTGCCCTGAATTGCTGCCAGCAGTCAAGGTGTACAACTTAGGTGTGGCCTGTAGGTTTTTTTGTTGTAATACATCATGATTACCCTCATCATGGGGCTTCTTTACGTTCATGTGACATACTTTCTTTTTTTAAATCCTTCCCCTCTCTTTCCTTCCACCAAAACATCCCTTGGAGCCCTTTTCTCCTAAGTGTGTGTGTGTGTGTATACACACATATATTATACATATATAA